TGTCACGGGGTATAGAGAGAGATTGATAACAGAAGCTTTGTTTATCGAATCAACTGCAAATATATGTAATAGGAATGATTCAACACCTGTCCCAGATATCTGGAAAATTCTACTATCCCTACGACAAATAGGAGAAGACAACGAATACTATAAAATTCAAGTTTCAAAGTCGTGTGATTACAATTGATATGATTATGAATCACAATAAATTTTGTTTGAAACGTCATCCAGTAAATAATACTGTTTCACTGTGTGATATATGTAATAAACGAACTAATATGGAATTACCTACTACCACAGTGCCCAAGTTTTACGCATATATTATAGTTCTCAAGAGTTTACTAGCCTTTTGAATTCTATCAAAACATGATCACAAATCATTGAGGTTTTCCGTTGCGTTCGCTGCACTTCCAGTGCTTTTCTGCAATTTTGATCAATGAAAACTTCAATTACAAAATTTCCGCGCTGAAGTTTTCCCATTCTTCCACATCGAAATATGAAAATACCTTAATTTTTTCAAATACTTCAAATAATTAGAGAATCAACACGTGGCAATGCAGCAATCACCTTTTTTCACAATTAAGTATAAGTTAAACGATATCATTAAAATTGGGATAAGATCAAGGACATATAACCATATTTTTTTCTTTCAGACACAGCACTTCATTTTGTTATTTACGCTATATATACAATTGGCATTTATTTTTAAATATAACAATCTATAAGACAAGTGAGGTCGGCCTCTAAAACGCTCGGGATAAATAAAAGTGGAAAATTGTAGTGCAAAAATGATGTGAAGATAAAATGGAGATTTTAAATGGAAATTTTGGTCGTGGAAAACACCCATAAGGACATTAAAAAGAAGAGAACGCGAAGTTCAGCAAAGATATCTTTCCGGCGATTTCATTTCCAAAAGCTGTACGATCGCATTTAAATACATAATTTTACTTAGATACAATTCTTATTTGATTCCATGCTCATTTTCTATTCTATGCGATTTTACAACTTTTGAAAATGAAATCGCCGAAAAGATATCTTTGCTGAACTTCGTGTTCTCTTCTTTGAAATGTAGATATTTATTACTATTATTTCAGTTATTTGAACAATTTATATTGATTAACCTAGAACAAAGAGCCAATTGTTTTGGTCGCACACTTAGGATCAGTTTAAATGCAGCCAACGGTAAAGTTTATTTCATGAAATTTGTCAGCATATTGGCTCCTCTCAAATAAAATAACTATAGTCTCATTGTTTTAAGATTTGTTAAATTCTACCGCCTACACTAAGAATTGTGCTGATGATGCAAGTCAAAAAAACTTGTAATCATTATTTCTAGCTGAAATTCCTAATGTGTTTGTCTTCTGCGAGAAATTAAAACTGTTGCCTTAGATTTTCCACAAGCTTCTAAGGGCCTCAAAGGGTTGAACACCAAAATTTATAGTCATACGATTGATTATCCTACTGTTTAGGTGTGATATATGAAAATTTATCAAATCACCGCTTGTTAAACTATCATTCATTTCGGATAACTATGGAATTCATTCTTAATAAGGATTAACGTGAAGATATAGTATATTTATTTACATTCATAGTCGAGACGACAATGAATACCTTTACTTCTGAAACACTGAAATGGCGAAAAGAATGTTATGATATAGCGTCTCTATCAGATGCTTCACTCTAAACATCCTGTTGTGTTTCCAGTGAACGAAAGTCTTTCATAAACCAACTGGTAGATGAACAAGATATATGGAGCAGTTGACAGAACAGAAAAGATCTCTATTTATCTACTGCCCAAACCAGTGCCAGATGTTCTTTGTCAGCTACTGAATACTTCTACTGGAAGAATGTTAGAACACGGCTGGTATACTGAGCAAGTATTTGGGCCTGTTTATCAGCCGCATCTATTCTATCAGTACTCACACCATTGGAGACTTCGAAGGACTTCCCGTGAAGGTGTATTCTAGACATCATTAAAAAATCCTTAACAAGGTCAAATATTTTCTGCTAGTAAACCAAATGAAACATGCTATCCTCCCCAGAAACTGTCGAACTTTCTCACTCAAATTCAGAAATGCTTTCATCGTCAGGAGTTTTTCCTCGTTTTCCACTTTATGCCCCAGAAATTTAACATTCCCGTTAGTCACCTAAGATTTTATCTTACTAAAGAGTACTCCAAACACCTTAATATGTATTTAGCGCCTTCTGAATAATCATTTCCACCTAATTTTTTTCCACTCACGTCATCATCCTTGACATATAGCTAATTCTTATCAATATAAGTGGCATGGGAAATAATTAGTTTTCAATATTATGACCCAAATCATAACCAAAACCACATGCTCCATCTAATTAAACAAATCTCGAAGCCCTCCAACTCCGATGAACAACCTCCCTTACCTTAAGACTGCAATCACGGCATTCGATGATTCAATATGTGGAGCTTTCAATACTTCTACCTCTGCCACTTCTCTGTATTCGTATATGTCGCACTTCCTCCCAAGTATCTACCAAAAGTACAAATTACATCCTAGTATTCACTACCACTGTATCTGCTACCCGTGTAATTCACTTCTGGTGTTGCTAATGCCGTCATCGCAGTACTCAGAAGCTAGATTGCATTAAAAAGTTAAAACTGTCACGTACTGGTATCTGAAACATTATTAATAAACTATGGCTCATGGAGAGTGGAAGGAGCATGGAGAAGTGCATTCGTCAGTTTCAGTCTGCCGTCAACTCCATACGGCATAAATTTTTCACTGCCTGTCTATAGGACTGTTGGGCTCTACCAATAGCCACTAAACTTGCATCTCCTACGTTTCTTTTGCATCATCACATTATCATATAAAGCATTCACTCGGCATCGCAGTAGCATCCATAGGACACTTCCATCGCTGTTGAACCCTGTAAATCAGCCAGCTTTACGACCTCCTCAAAGCCCTTCCTTAAACACTACTGGCTACAGAACCTGAATTATGAAGGAAGCTAAACTGCACCTGAATGCATTTTCGATTAGTATGAAGCACACCTTTTGAGTCGGAAGTTTGTAAGGAAGTGTTCATTCAACAAAATCAAAAACGCTACTTCATACATCCATCAAACTCGTTCACTGGGTAAAAAAAAACTTTTCTGAAAAAGCATTCTCCTCACTATACAAAAGAGTCGGAATATGAATCACTATTTTCATCACAATTGACGAGAATATAACCGAATTTCATTGTTATAATTAATTCCAACTGAATCGTGACTAATAGAACAAACATTGTTAAGTTAGTATGGAAATGATTCATCATATGTCACATAATGAGACTGTTGATGATTGTGCCCTTTAATTGAAGGTAAATAACCCAGTCAATTTTCTGCATACCAATAATGTAGATGCATTTTAGATAATCACATTGCAACTATCTGAATTGGATGGAATAGATATTCACACTATTTAGTATGAATCATACTAATTATACCTCCATAAACTGTTTGCCTTGTTGATATGTCAATGAATTAGCTTCAGAATTCACGAAGCAAAAAATCATTTATTATTCAATTATTTTTTTCCAGCAGGCTTAAAAATTCTGAACATACCATATAATAAAATAGCAATCTGGTGTTTTTTCATATATGCCTTTTTGTCTACTGTTATTGAATTTAGTAGTTTGAAAATAAATATAACATTCGTTGATTCCCACAAATAATTTTGTCCCTGTTAAAAAACAAATGAACTATTTTAAGTTAAATATATCCTGCCGAGTTAATTCTTAGAACAAGAGAACAGTTATGTTCTGTTACTTATCAAAGCAGGGCATTTACTGATTGGATGCTCGATATTTAGATCGAAGTCATCCTGAAAAACTTCACAAGTAAATTTCAAATAGTTTGCGCGCTCAGGTTTCCATTAAATCTGAACATTAGTAGACACGGACCAATATCAGAGCGTCAGGTCATGTAAGCTGTTAATTTAGAGAGTATGTGTGTTTAAATGAGTTCCTAAAGGTCCTGCATAAAGAATAACCCTTGGTGCTAAATTTCTGAGAACAATGGAAGTCGTACCCAGCGGAGTCCACCAAGTCAGACGAGAGGAGAGTTACTCGCCTATAACATTGGCTGGTGGTTGCGCTAAATACATCACGAATAGGCAGAAGCTGGAGTTCATGGACAACTGGGTCATACCATAGTGGCTGAATGGTCTACGAGCTTGCATCGTAGCTGGAAGGTCCTGGGTTCGAACTCCAGTGTAGTGATGAGTAGTTCCAAACTAGGACGAAATAGCTGTCCAGTACCCCCTGGTTTTTCAGTGGTTGTCTTACTGATTCCGGCTTGTGATCAACTCTAATGTCTTTATTAAAAATGTAAAATGGAACGGTGACTATAAATTACTGATCGTGCAAAATTGAAAACTAGCTGAGGCAAAAGTATTTATAGCTCTACTCACTGACACAAGAGATATGGAGATATAATTTCGGGGAAAAGGAGATTGTTGACCGTAGATGTTGTCTTTTTAACCTGGAACTTTGGTGTATCTTTCATTGAAAATCAAATTAATTTTAAAGGAAATTTGTGAAGTAATCGATGATATGTCACGTGAGGATAGGTTCAAATATCAGGGTGGGAAATCTATCAAGATCGATGCAAGTGAGTATAACATCAAATAATGCTCCATAAATTACTGGCAATCTTCGTAATTATTAAGAGAAGCAGTTATTTTAATAGGCGGAAACTTTTGAATCACATTTCATTTTGAAGTTAATCAGTCAGAATCTAATAACTTCGTTTTTCCAACATCTGATTCGTGGCAAATTTGTTCTTCAGTAAGTTAACAAATCCACATTTACATTAAATTGGTCTAATGATTTCGATATTATCCTTAGTTTATCAGAAGTGTGAAAATTTCCTAAAGTCGATTAAAATGTTGACATAATCTTGTGCTACTCAATACCAAAATATATAACATTTTCTTATGTTAGTCATGCGTAAGTATACCAAAAGCAGTATTTGAAACCTACCTGACAGATCCAGCACTAATAGATATGTTCAAATGTTGACCATTCTGTGACTGCTGAATGGATTCTGTTGTTTGTCTGCATGATGACTGATACGCATTTCTTTTTGATTTAACTTTTTGCTTTGGCAACGATGTCGACTGGTTGTTTAGTTCACAGTAGCTTCTCATTTGATTTTCGCTTGATCTGAGAGTAATCGGTGTACTCGATTTGCATGTTTCCTGAAATTTCGCATGTATTGGCAGTTCTGAGCTAGTGGTTTTCTGAAGTTTTAGAGGTACAAAAAAGGATATATTTAAAATCAAAGTGTTCTTATTTAGCTAGTCTATCATAAATTTGGCTATACTTCCGACACTGCACATTGGGCCACATTAAATTGCCACTGAGTTGCCAAATACATCAACCGTACAGTGTTTCTCACTTGTGAAACCGAGCTCGCGAACGCTACCTAACCCAACTAGCAAAGAGAGAACGAATGTAGGCCTTCGGTTCAATAACACAACACCTTGTGAATTCAAGATACTCAACTCTATTTGAGAAATTCTTCAGTGTCTTATATGATATCCGGTCAAACCTGTCAAAGACAGTGAGGTCAGTACATCTGAGAATGTCTGGTGTCCGGAAATTTGAGCCAGCGTTCCGTATCTAAAGAAAAGTGCGTTAATTCTTTTTCTTCGACACCATAACCAGTTTACTTTCATGAGAAAATCATTATTATTCAATTGTTTATTATCCAAACTTCCTGTCCACTCTCTTATCTCAGTCCTTATTTTTACTACACAGCTTCATCTAGCCATTTGCAGTTTTTGGTTAGAAACAGTTCTGAAATTTTCTCACCCCGTTTGATATATATTCACGAATGGCTTTGTTCAAAAGAGACCGTCTTTTTGTTTCCGTCTAGTGTAATGGGTATATTCCACTATTATGAATGTTTTACACAAAGTTGTGATGAGGTAAACCAGATTCCCGAAATCCGTGACTGTGAGGACATTTCGTGGCGGGAAGAATGCCAACTTTTACAAGGCACTGAACAATGTTTCATTTTGCGGATTAACTTACTGTTCAAAAAGTGGGTGTAGCCAGATCCTTTAAATCAGTCTTAAGTGAACTAATTATCAAGCTGGCAACACATGTCAGTATTTATCAGTAATGCACAACTTTGGCTGTGACAGATTTAATGATTTAGGTTTAATGTGTACCGAAATAACATTCACAGCAAAATAATCATCAGAAGTATTATCTAAATAAGCAGTTTGGACAGAATATTTCCATAATTTTGTGTCGAAATAGTACAGTTGGTTTTAAAACACTTCAAACACACCTATTGTTAGACAATTCAGATATTTAAGTTATGTGGTTGTTTCGTTTTAACAGGCCAAATATCCTCCAACAGTTTGTACTCAATTCGCAGTGATAACGTGTTTAGGAGTGGTGTGTACTAAGCAGCTATTATACTGTTTTAGGATACAGAAAAGGAATTTTAGGCCAGTATGGAGGTGAACTGTAATTAGAATTAATTCCTGTTCCTTTTAGCCTAAGTCTTACATGAATATAAGAATAAAAAGTCACGATACAAACGAAAGATTGAATTGGAGTGAGAAAAATAATGCAAAGGTATTTGCCTGAAGTATTTTAAGAACAATACAAAGTCCCTGACTTATTTTGAGCTACTTACTTGGTTAGGCTCTCGTTTAATAGATTGTACTGTAGCTTTTGGCGTTTTAACTGGTTTACGTAAATTTAAAACAATGTTACAACTTTTAGAAGATGATGGAGAATCATAATTGGGACTTGAAACCTCCAGTGAACGACTAGATTCAAAATGTAACACTGAAAAGTTTTCACATAGCTGATTGTTATTCGGTAGTAATCCCTGAATTATTGATGATGAAATAGTAGATGCATTATCTGTATGTCTTTCAGTTTTGTTGATGTCAACTCCATTTTCTTTATAATTGTATCCAGAAGAATGTGACTGCGATTTTGGAACGCCGTCCACTACTTTAAATTCATGGGAATTGCATCTAGAAGATTCGACTGTTGTTGTTTTGGAAGATATAGATCTTGTTTCTGAGGGTTTATTCAACATTTGAACTGAAGGAATCAGTTTTAAACACTCCAGTTTGTCTAGTGGTACTGTATCGTAAGCATGACAGCTATGTCTGTTTGTTGTATTTGTTGGAATTTTCGTTGAATAATGGCAAACTCTAGAAGTATGGCACAGGATATCTCTTTGAGATGGTGAGTCATTTTTCATGGAAGGTTGACTGTTGCTAAAAGTACGTAAAAATAATAATTACAGTTTCATGCATATTAATTCTTGTTCATAGTTACTTCTATTTTCGACTGTACAGACTCTGTTTCTCGTGTATACCGTAGTAAAACTGGATAAAACTAACTTGTGAATACTGAAATTAGAACGAATTCACCTTTGGAGAGTGTCTGAGGTGTGATCATTCAAAAAATTGGACTACATAATTACTTTCATGGGAGATAAGATTCGTCAGCAGCCTAAGTCATACTATGTGAGCTAATGTTTTCTAATATTTTTCCTTTCCCCGAGAATTCGGAAGATATTCAGCAAGGAAGTGATCGACGAAGAACTGCGTAATCTCCGAGGAACCCTGATAGATAACGGTTTTCCGCCTAGGTTCATAGAGAAGAATCTCAAATCAAAGAAGACTTCCGAATAAGTCTAATCCGTCCCGAAGAAGATACTTATGCTTAATCTAGAATTCAAAGGTGACATTGAAGCAGAAATCCTTCGTAAACGCCTCGGCAAATCGCTGCAAGCCTACGACTGATGTTTTCCAGCAAGAAACTGTTCATCCAGAACGCGAAAGACAAGCTGTCGCATTGGGCCACTTCAACGTGCATATACCAGTTTGCTTGCTCGTGTGGAGCTGAGTAAATCGGCCGTACCATGCGCCAACTCTTGAACACTATCCAGCCTGGCTAGTGAAAGGAGAACGAAAACGGGTGCACAGTTCAGTGACAGAACATCTGGTCAATTCAGGATATTCAGAGCTATTCGAAAAATCCTTCGAAATAATATACAAGATTTGATCAGACCTATCAAAGGGAGTAAAATTAAGACATCTGGGCATAGCCGAGGCACTAGCCATCCAAAAGCTCAAACCCACGCTATGTATTCAAAAGAAATACGTCCAACGCTTGTCCCTGCCTTGGCCATCATGAATAGGTAATTCTTCTAATAGTGACTATCCCATTGCCTTTCTTATCCAGACTTCCTGTTTATTCATGTTATTTTTAAGTTTTTCTTAATCCCTATTTACACTACCATATTTTCATACCCGAACTTCCTGTCTGTTTTGTTATTTTACTATTTCTACATACTTAATCCCTAATCGCATAAACAATTATTCGTCACATTAGTTATGATCCCACTAGATTTTTTATCCAAACATCCTGTCTATTTTGTTATTTCTACATTTCTAACCCCTAATTACATAACATGTCAGTCTTCGCAGTAATTATGATGCTACTTTGTTTGAGTTTTATCCGTCCCCCTGTTTATTATGGCATTTTAATTCTTAATTGTAATTTTATTAATTTGACCTTTGACCGGAAATTATTCTGGAACTTTCCCACCCATTTATCATAAATACACGAATGCACAGCTTAGTTGATGACTTCGTCGAAAAGAAAATTTTCTTCGCTGTAATTGTCTTATTATTATCCTCTATGATCAAATGTGTATATTCCGTAATCTTTAGTAATATTGCTGCGCATGAACTAACGAGATCACTGACGAATGTCATGTACAAATTAGAGGAAACTACTTGAAGAAGGGACAAATATGCCAGAAATCAACTGTAAGGGCTTTTAGCCTCACTTGTTTAGTCATTTCTGTTGACAGACATCTTAAACACTTTATTAGTTTCCTCTGATTTCCTATTTTGAGGCAATTTGGAAATAATAAGAGGTTCAAACTCAGTTACTGATCGAAACAGTGGCATTACTAAGAGGGTGGCAAATAACAGCCGTTCAAACGCAGTCTAGTCAGATGGATTAATTGATCGACATGCAAGAAGTCAAAATCAAAAAAGTTAATGTAATGCACCGCTATTCAAAGTTGGCTATCGTTATAAATAAATGCTCATGTACTTTGAAAATGTTCCTCGTCTGCCATGTAATTAAATATTCTCATTTTAGTTAATCCCAGTTTTAATGAAGCTTTGAACAACACCCTTCGTTAAACTTAATTTGGTTTTTGTTGAGAATCTCCGTTTTACGTTTATTAGTGACCTTTTAAGGACAAACATTTAACCTTGAGGAAACTTATACCCTCCAAGATTTAAATTTGTGTCATTCACTGCTGAATGTGGGAGGCCTAACCACAAGCTTTTTGGTTGGGAATAATGTTGACACATTGACTGGTTACTGAAAACAACCAATTATGCGGTGTTTGATTTTTTTAATTTTCTAATAATATTTAAGGTTAACATCACTTTGCCCAAAGACTAGATGAATACTCAGTTCAATGTAGTTTCCCTTTTAGAGCAATCATGATGTTTTTTACTTGCAATCATAACTCTTACCGTTTTTGTACAATTGAGACTGTTATGATGTATGGTTAATATTTTTCATTACATGTTTAGTTATCACAAGAATCTTACGGAGACTGAATGATGATGCGCTTCGTTTATTCTCAGGTAAAGTGTGGTATCTATCGGTGTATATAACTGGAGATGTTTCTGACTGCATCTCGGAGAGATTTAGATTCATTTCTGGAATTTCTCCCCACTTAAAAATACACCTCTATGATGAGATACGAGATCTAAATGTAAATAAACCTTGTATTTTCAGGAAACTTCATACATTTGTTCCCCTTAATGAATTTGAACTCGGTGGGAACATCATTACTCACTGGGGAATGCAGGTACATCCAGCTGACGACTCCCAAATAGGACGAAATGCGCATCCTGGATTCCACTGCTAGTCACCATTCACCAACTAAATCCTGAGTTCAGTTGTTACCTAATTTATTAGTTACTCATCATCTCACGTACCTCTCGCCTCTGTTATGTAACTCCTTTACCATTGTATGCATACATTTTCTTTTTTTAAACTTGAACTCCCTGTATAAAAACTATATAAGCGTAATTTTCTGAGCATTGTTCATTAAGTCCAGAACCTTCTGTCAACTGACATCATGTAACATTTGCAAGTATGTTAAAACTTTTCTGTACATAAACTTGATAATGTATTTAATCTGTAAGCAGCTGATGAGAAGCCAACGAAATAAATTATGGTACCAACTTATTCTGCACGGACTGTTGTTCTTGCTTTATTCAAACCTTGTACTGTTAATATGAAGCATTATTAGCCTGATCTTAAAGTTTGCATGTGATGTAACGCTCATAACTGTGCACGCAATATACTGATGAAATATACCAAGGACAAAGGCGGCTGTCACCAGCAACAGTCTGTGGATAGTAGAAATGAGGCAATTTCGACGATATTACTCAAAATATGAGGAATTCTAGTCTCAGATCACAATAGCATTCAATTAAAATATGACTTACAAGGATATAAGTATCACAGTTTAATACATTTTACTGAAGCACCTAAGGAAAACAAACTTCTCAAAATGCAACGGTAATTTTACTCAATATAACAATAAGTGCAGAATATTATGATAATACTAGTGTTATCCTATGGTGATATGCCAACTTAAGACAAAATTTAAATTAAATCAATTTACCTTGTTTGTGGATTTTGGCTGAAATCTCGAAGTTCACAGTTTATGCTTGAACTTCGGCTCAAGTAACTTGAATGTACACTTGATAAATTTGGAAAGTTGTTCAATTGAGAATCATTCAAAGTGCTGGTATCCCTTTCAGTACTTTGCTTGCAAAGTGTCATATTAGATGCTGCTGCTGACTTGTCTATACTCGTGTATGAAGCACGGACAAAAAGAGCAGTTCTTCCTAATGTAGGTGTCCGTGGATGACGAAGAGCTACTGCTGATTTACAGACAACAGGAGTAGGTGGATAAACTTTTTCACTTTTTGAATATAACTTTGATATTCTCTCAGTGGATATATCTGAAAGATTATCTGATTGTGTAGCACTTGGAATTCTTTGACCGTATTTAGGGGGCCGTACAACGATGTTATTGTTTCTGTCGTCCTCGGAGTCACCAATTAGTGTGTTAACACTTTCAGTAGTTTGAAACGGTAAAATTTCTCTTTCTTCGGGTTCAGAATTGCTGGACTTTTCTTCTTCAGGCCACTGTAAGCTCATTTTAACAGTTGATGGAAGATATGTCATACTTGATACAAATGGAAATAAGAGGATGAAAAAGAGTTACAGAAGTTGGACAAGAGAACAAATATCTTATTTGTATTATTAGGTATACCATACACATTTAGGTATTCAGAATTTCTTCTTGAGAAACTAATAAATTAGATCAATGGAGAATATTAGTCCACCTTGGACTGAAATCAGATTTTGTTAGAGTTCTGATGCAGTAATCTTAGTCTTCGAAGTAGACTAACAGCTATCGTTTTTATGTGATTAACTATACCGAAAGACAGTATCTAACACAGATTTAATAACACTATTTCCTTCTTTAAATATTACGCCAAAAATTTGAGTCGTATTGGTATTTGATCTAAACATAGCCATATAGTCGGCTTAGCGTTCTATTGATTCAGTAACAAGACTTACTTTTAGGCGATAGAGTTGTTTACAGACGTTTACTTAAGGTATATTTCCGGTTGGCTATCTATTGTTTGCTCATTCTGATTATTATTCAAACAAATCTGTAATTTATTAGGCATGCGGTATATTATAATGATGATATAATAAGTAAACAATTTATCCACGAACCCTGAGCATCAATGGTTCAGCAGTAGAACGCCCACTAACCATGGATGTGATCCCGGATTCGATCCCCTGACGGTGCACCCCTAAATCTTGCTTAACCGATAGTAAGGCAAGTAAAAAGGGGGAGTTGAGGATAGAGCTAGCAGTTTCACCCGTAAAAATAAAACAACTGGAACTTCACAGCTCTGGCTTTGAAGCCCTATGTTCCACTCGGAACGGAAATAAAATAAAATAAATTATTCAATAATAAATATCCACAAACTAATCAATAGTCTTTTATGGGTGAGTACAAATTGTAAAGTATTTACAGTGTTTAATGTCCAGGCAGTTTATTCTCTGTTTTCATCTTGTGTCACCCATGTATCGAGGGGAACTTTATTAGTTGGCAAGAAAGGGTAAAATTATTGTTTGTACCTCTAGCTGAAAGTTAATACACGAATTTAACCTAAATCACGAATAAATTATGTGGTCCTATATACATTCAGCAAACTCTCCAGAAATTGGTTCATTAGAAGACAATGATAACTGATACTAAGGTTCTGTAACATCATACCCGTATTTAAAACATTTCCCCCTAGTGCATTTAAAACAATAATAACAAGTTTTCTATTATCACTTATATTCCGAATGAAAAATAGGGTTTCGATACTTCCACACTTTCAGTGGTAGCGATTCTGTTCTCACCGGGTGAGGTAACTAGCTTCATACCCTACCTTTCCTCTTCTCTGGGCTTACTGTAGGCTAGTAAACTAGGTGAGGTTTAGGAATGTGTCTATCGGGAGTCGGATCACATGCATGATAGGCGGACATTCTACCACTGAAGCATTTCAAAAGATCCATAACCGAGATTAATATTCGACTGCGGCTTCTGATTTCTGCCATGATACAGAACACCCAACTAGTAATAATAATTAAGTGAAGAAAAGAAGAGGGAAGTATTATGGAAAAAAGTATGCTTCCAGGGGGAGGTTCAGGCTGAGAACAGTTTCTTTCTGGTTTTTTTCGAAGAGGAAATCAGACTTTGTGTACTGACAAAAGACTGAGCTGAAAACATTATTCACTATGTAACTACATCAGTTGTATGCTGTAATGGAGTGTTAGTGATTTTTGTTGGTTGGCGTTTATTTTGACTAGAATGCACCTCTAATCATGATAATAAAGCCAACTGATCACTTGAAAATATTATTCACACTGAGGTAGACACAAAAATCAGATTTAACTGCAACAACCACGACAACAACAACATTTTTCGACCAAATACAGGATATGTATATCTTTTACTCATCAACAGAAATCTAAACCATAAATACATAGTCAATATCTGGTGGACTGCATGACCTTAAGGCTTCTCCAAAATAAATCAGTCAAAAGTTGTCCAATCAGGTCATCATTATGTTGACGCATGCATCAGTCATAATTTCACGGCTAACAAAGATAACTAGCCCGTTCTAACACCTCCTTTTTTTTAATAAGTTCTCAGTTTGGGGTCCACCTGAATATGCTTCTCAGGTCTGCTTAACCCCTGCGATCTTCGTGGTACCATCGATTGTGGTTCACTTGGCTTTTTCATAGTTGTTTCTCTGCAAAGGATCTCTATGGGTAAACTCCTCTGAAACAAGTTGCTGGTATTACCAAAACCTTCTCTTTTCGTGATATGGTTTAAATGTCTCGACCACAACAGTTCTCTAACATTCACCTAGTATGTCACTTTGGCCGTTTTCTCTTCGATTACGCCTCTAGTCCATTTGAGTTTAGCAGTTTGAAAATCACGAACCCACACAGACTCACCAATGGAGAAATGTCTGTGTGTTGCCCCATGACGTTAATTGTATTGATCTTCCATCTTCGTATTTCTTCATTTTTCCTTTTCAAGTCTTGGATGTAAATCATCTTAGAAAATACGAATTTCACGTCCAAATGTATGTTCAGAAGGTGACAGTCTGTTGGTAGTCGATGTCCTGACATCCCTTCCTCCCTTCCTTTCAGAATGGTTCATTTGAGTGTATCAACAAAAAGTTCTGCTTGACCATTCGACTGTAGGCGACACAGTGGACATCATACGGGCTGAATGCTATTTTCTTGGCAGTACTGCTGGAACTGACTTGATGTAAACTGCAATCCATTATCGGTTACAACTACATCAGGTAGTCCAAAATGGCAGAATACTTCTCCAAGTTTTCAAGTCGCAGCTGTCGTAGAAACATTCTTCATGATAAAACTTCTGGTCATTTTAAAAATGCATCACTTATTGCCAGTTATTGTTTCCCTTAGAATAGGCCAGCAGAATTAATATGAACTCTATATTATGCACGTTCTGGAATAGAACATAAGTGAAGTTCAGCTTTCACTGGTAGCTTAGCGGCTTCTGCATACCTACTACAACTCCGGGCTATGTGTTCCAATTCACTATCTAAATTAGGCTCCAAACCACTTTCATTCTACTGATCCTTCAGTGAGATGAATGTGGCTGACGGAGGACACGGATACTTATTACTTGAAGGATCACCACATGATTACCAAACATCAGGCAGTTATCGACTACTGAGCAGGAATTTCGTTTTTGATGAAATTGTTTTATTTGTGGACAGGTGAGTTGGGATGACCAACCGTACTGAAGGAATCTCAATACTACAGATTTAGTAGCGTTTATTAAAACTGCTTTCACCCCCTCTTTGACAAGAACTACAGCCACCATTACATCTTTGTTTTCCACCTTATGGCATTGAAGCAGGCGCGATAGTGCATCAGTGTGACCAAAATCGTGTGTAGACTTGTATTTTATTTTCAAATTATAACCCAAAAGGATAACTGTCCATCCCTGAAGTCCATTCGCTGTGTAAACTGGGATTCCCTTCCTAAAACCAAAAATTGACTGTAGAGGTTGATGATTAGTAAGTAGTGTAAAACTGAGTCCTTAAATCATCCTAGTGCAAATACCAATGCAAGACCCTCTTTCTTCACCAATCTATAGTCTCGTCCAGCTTTTTTCAGAGTTCCTGAAGCATTTTCAATGCCACTTGGCAACAGGTGTGAGACAACTGCGCCGACACCATAACTAGAAGCACCGGCTGCAACGATCATTTCCAACTTGAAGCTATAGTGTACTAGGAGTAAATCGGAAGTTAATATTTCCTTGACTTTCTCGTATTCACGTTAACATTCACTCGATCAATTCCCCTTGGCGTCTTCTTACAGCAGTTTTTGCAACGGTTTTCTTAACCAATGCTTTTTCTATAGAAACTGATTAGCCCTAAAATGGGATTTAACGTATTGATGTTGTCGGGAGTAGATATCTTTTGAATGGCTATAATATTTTCTGCGTCTGATCTACCTAACAAGATTGTATCACAAAGAAAAGCGATTTGAATAAAGACAAATAAATCACTTACCTTAGATTAGTAGAACTTTCCAAGGCTAAATATTTTGCAAACTGTGAATGTTTCTCTGAAGCGTTTCTTATTGCTTCAAATGGTGATACCTCATCAGCGATTAAATCCATTTTCTGTTTTTTCGATTTCTTTATGTTACCAGTTTTAAGAAAACGCTAGTAATACAGATGGATAGAAGTAAAACAAAAAATACATAAGTTGAAATCTATTTGGTTGTAAAATAAAGGTATTCAGTTTTGTGGAACTTACTATTCAGTAGATATTTACTAAATGCTGATAAAAATGTAACGTCTAATTTCTACTATACAAAGAACACGTATATAAATAAAAGTTTGCCCTGGATAAAATTTTGCGTCGGTGGCACAACGGTAGAATGCTGACCAACTACGCATGTGGTTTGGAGTTCGATCCCCGGCTGATGCACTCCTTTAGCTCACTAAGCTAGTGATAAGACTGGGCATGAGGCAAGCAACCCTATCCCGTAAAAATAAGCACCACTGCTACTGAAACTTCACGTCTCTAGCTTGAAGCCCTATGTTCCACTTGGAACATAGAGGGATAAAAAATAGTTAAATCTATAGTCAGCACATTATATTGTCTACTGTAGTTATAATAAAAAGCATTTCACTACATAAAAGGGAATTTCCTGCGTCAACCATGTCCTAAAAAGCTTTTTCTACTTTAACCAGCGATTCATCTTCTCATTTTTTACAGCTTCAAATGAAATTGCACTTGTTGAACAATTTACATGTTATCACTTATGAACATTTTGTGTCCCGCTGCAGTCGATTAATGTGTTTACACGCCTTATATAATATTTTAAGATAATATAAATTATAGTATGAATACAAGGGAGGAAAACGAAGGCGCTTTAGCAACAGTTAAATATGACTCCTAATCAACAACAACAAAACTGCAGGCGAACAACGACTTTCTTGTGTATTTGTACATGTCTTAAAATGAATTACATTATCAGCTAATCTTCCTTTTAATATACATAATTTTCGAATAGAATAACACGCGATAAGTAGTTTCGAACAGAAAAGAAAAAACACCTGTCGTTTGAGTTTTACTAATTTGTGATATTCCTGATGTAAAAGAATAATCCCAGTACAAATTCTGTTACGAGTTAGTAAGCTTTAGGTGACTGAAATATTGATATTTTTGAATAAAAAAATACCAGTTGTATTTCATAGATTTAATTCTTCACAAAGGCTATTTGATGCGTTGTAGTAATCATAATACATTCTGGGAAATGTCTTCAATACTTCAATGCGTCGGTGGCACAGCGGTTAGGACTCCACCCGACCATCCACATAGTCCGGGGTTCGATCCCCTGCCGACGCACACCTAATATCAATGGTCGGGCTGCAAAATTTGGGCTACCAATATCACATGCTGAAAATTCCATACCTGAACCAAAAGTACTGTGTGGTTTCAAGCTATAATCAAAATATAATAAAAGTGTTTATTCAAAATAAACACGTAAATAGCATTTGCATGTTTTATACACCTCAGTGAATATACCGGAATAGTTTTATGCTCAATGAACTTCAATGCATAGTGATCATAGGAAATCCCCTACATAATGTCTACAAATGACTATATAATTTTCATAATGAAATATAAATTTGGTTTTGTAGGTTTTAATGGGACCCGAATAACACAAGGTTATCTGAGACATTATGATTTTCGATTTTCAGAGTTTCAGTCAGATACTCAAGAAAACTTTGACTGAAACGCGGTGATATACATTAATTTCCCAAAGTTACATAGACCTTGTAATAATTGCTTTACATTGCTGAGTAGAGAGACTTGTGCTATGCTCCTCATTGATGGCGTGACCTCACTTGAAGTGAGGTTGAAATGTTTACTTCATGTATATGGGTGATATTTAACTCAAATGTGGAGCCAGACATTGATTTACCTGTTTGACACCGAAATTTGAATGTTAACACGTTTTACAATTTCCTACTAAAACAACACAGTGTAGTAACGTGCAATTAGTTTCGAGCTTATTTAAGTGTTTCTTAAATTCTTACTCTGACAGTTAGAATGAAGATACATCTTGTGAAATTCATTCCAACCTGTTTAACTTCTTTCGTGTCAAATGTTTCAACAAATGTTTGACTGGAGGACAAAATTGATGATTTGCTGTACATTTTATCACTAACATTTTAATGGAAATTTTAATTTTTAACAGTAATTCAATTTGCACAGCCCTTCAAGTTACTCTCAGTTAGTGTTATTAATCTCTACTCTTTCTTAAGTTCTCCCAAGTCCTTTATACAAGAAATTAAAAGATGTATATTAGTTTAACGTATAAATAAAAATCAAGTCATCATCTAGTACGAAATCTGCCGACATTTAAGTTCCCACTTCACTCTCAGTCATCAACCATTACATAAACAGTAGTCTGATACTATGTCAAATGTTGAAATTTAAAAACTGTGCAATCCTAAAATGTTCGAACATTCAACATGATATAAATGATCAGTATCTTAGTTGTGTTTGTGTGAGTTCAGAAATAATATTTGACTCATTTTTAAGTAATTCCAAAGATGCATTATGCAGTATGTTGTTGTGTACAGTTGCTATACCAAAAAGAATCATTTTGCTTCCTTTATAGTGTAATATTCTCCAGCGTGTGAATTCGTTAGCATAAAGTCTCATGGACTTCTAAAGGAAAGCGATTGTCCTAGTACGTTTCCAATATCATTATGATTTTAGAAAATTATACTCTCAAAGAAAATCCCACTATTGATAAGTGAAAATTTAATCCGAATTGCATGATATAATCCACACTATACTTACCAAAAATCGCCTTCCGTGTGTATCCATCTCCTCCTTGCACTTACAGTCAGCTGACACATTAGTTAGAGATGTCTTTTTCACTCCGCAATCTTCATTTCTTTCAAATTCTGCTGAAGCGGTTGATTGTTTTCGCGATCCAACTGTTTTAAACCATAATACTGGCATTGATAATGATGTTGAAGAGCGGTTTGGATTTATGCTTAGTGAATTACTTTCTTTTCGTTAATTATTGCACAAGTTTATATCAGAAAAGGGTTGTAATAATGTTATTCAATAATCTGTTTTTCCAATAATATCAGCGTTTCCTCTATCCAACTTCCACTTTATCTTGTTAGCTACTAGTTAAGTAAGAAAAAGAAAGCCTTTAAATGTTCATTCATATTACAACTAAAGAGATGAATGCATCTTACAGATCACATGGAGTTATTGTACATTTAGATATTTGTCAAATATCACACCACTTGTTTCTCATTATACTATTTATTTAAAAGAATTAGTTCCGTTTATGAATATCGACAACACAATAAGAAGACGTAATTTGTCAGAATCGTGTAATGTATTCGAGCAACACATTTCGAAAAACCTGATCACACATGGACTTGTCACAGGAATATATGTGAAATTAATAAAGAGTTAAGAGGTGAGAAAATAGACTCAGATCAAGTTAAAAGGACATAGTGAAGGTCAAAATAACAATGAAGATCATTAAACCAAATAACATCTGCTGTGATTTACCGGGAAAGGTTTAGTGTGAAGATGAATTGTTTTTGAAAGCACAGAGGTGATTTAATCTTCCTAACTGCCAGTTAGGGCTTCCACAAACTTTAGGATACACCCGAACCATGTTCTATAGATAGGTTTACAATATGTGTAAACATCAATTTTTCGTACTGTCTCTATAATGTGTTTCTCAATAATAAAAATAGTAATAATAATTTTCGCTTTTTTCCAGAAACAGTACTAATGATACAGCAAGGAATTTTCAGGATTCATTACAATATTGCATCTAATTTACTCAAAACAACAAAAAATAAACATCACATAATAATAACAAAATTTTGTTATAGTAGGTATGTAGCAATTACAGTATACGATAAGGAGAAAAATGTGCATAAAGTATAAAATTGTAGTAATAATAGTAATAACAACTAAAATAAAATAGCTAAGTTATAATTAAACGATAAAAGGGTGACATCATAAAATTATAGAAAGATGAACGATGAAAGGGTCAATTCACTTTGCTAATTACATAGTAACTTATATGTTTCACGTCTAACAGTGTCTTCATCACATAAAATACGGGCTAAATAGGGTATCGTAGAATTTTTGTACTTAGTGGTGCGAGGAAATTACTTCTTATATTAACTTCTCGTCCTTCCTGATGAGATACAAGGGGATAGTTGTGAATAAAGGGGGTGCATGGGGTTTGACAGTACGGCCTTTGCCAATTTTTGTACAGGATTTTATATGTCTCTCGACTATAATATTGGCGAGCTCACGCAGTGGCATCCCACAAGCCATACTTACAGCATTTAATACCCTTCGTAATATGATATAGTCTTTTTTGAGAAGCTCAGGAAAGATTAATGGAGAGCAATAGAGTACAATGGGTAAAATACAGGTTTTAACAAACTGCAGAAGTAAAGGTTGGTTGATACCTGATTGTCTTAACTTTTTAATGTAGAAGGTAAGACGAAACATTTTGTTAGAGATTGATAAGAAGTGGAATGACCATGAAATATCGGAAGAAAGAACTAATCCAAGGTATTTAATGCTTGACTTGGTCTCAATTTCAGTGCCATCTATGCTACAGGCATCATGGGAACTAACTAGTTCATGTATCTCACGTCGATGCTTGAAAGTAAAGTTAACTGCCTGACATATGGAAGGATTTAACATAAGACCATTTGACTTAGACTACTTACTGATGTCCAACAGAAAGCTATTAAGTTTGGAGCAGTCAGACTCGGAAGTGATAGGCAGTGATACAGTCACAACATCCGCATATTTGACAAGGTTAGTTTCGTTTAAATGGGGCAGGTCGTGTAGGAAGAAAGAAAAAAGAAAAGGAGAGAGGACGGCACCTTGAGGAACACCGGCTTTTGTAAGCGAGGCAGAAGAAGATTTGCCGTTATATACAGTATACTGCATTCTATCAGAAAAATAAAAATGCAACCAACTCTTAGCCCAGGATCCTATTTGCGTCAACGAAAGCTTATTTAATAAAAGGCCCCTAGGTACAGAGTCAAAAGCAAATGTGCAGTATAGGAAAGTACCACGAACATATTTGGCACCTTTGTCTAAACAAGAAACAACACTTTGATATACGACAATCGCAGCACCCAAGGTACATCTACCATGTTTATATGCTAGGTCGTCTGTTCTCACCATTCATGAGTTCTGGGGATTCTATTTGCTTCTGATGCCATTTAGGAATATGCTGTGAAGCCAGCCCTTACTTGCAGAGATTGATGAGTTCTCCCTATGTTTATGTGTCCACATGTACATTCAAATCGGTAAATACAATGGGATGTGACATCATTTTTCGCATGTTCTAAGGGGTTAGATGGATATATGGACTTCATATTCTCAATTATTGTAATCTTAACTGCATAAAAAGTCTTTTCAACCGCAGCGTTCAATCTCTGTCGAATTGCCAAGCTGCTATGATCACCCATGTAGGGTAGCTTGATATATACGTCTTTCTTAGCAGTGAGTTAGAGACTCGGTCTCGGTGTTCCGATTACTTCATATCTCCCAATGAACTTGTCTGGATAATTATTATCAACCAGAGTTTGTGTCAACTTTCTTTCTTCCTCACAAAGTGTATCTTCGATGCATATTCGTTGGATTCTACTGAAAAGGCACCTTACTAAGGCTCTTTTATACCGAACGGAGCAGAAACTGTGACACAAAAGAGCCTTAGTAAGGTGCATCTTAACTCTTTATTAATTTCATATATATTCCTATGACAAGTCCATGTGTGATCAGATTGTTCGAAATTTGTTGCGTAAATACATTATACGATTCAGAAAAAGTACCATTTATTGCTGTTCAGCTGTGGTATGTATTTGGAATTAATAACTAAATAGATGAGTTTCATTTATGAAACAAAATTGTCACTCTTATTAATCTTATGTTTGTATTCACCAGTGTACAGCTACTTTCTGTTTTTCTGCTAAGCTAATAACTGAATCTTTTACCGGCTTCCGCATGTATTTTCTTATAGAATCATTCAAATTTACATTGGTTTTCTTATCCTTATCATTGATATTCTACAATAATATTCATTTATTTCGGAATCATACTTTTGTAGAATCAGTATATTATGAGGATGGTGAAAGAGGCCGGTAAATAAATATATTCAAGCATTTATTATAAATGTATTATAAATGCAATATGCTTTTGTAGCACTGAAATGAGGTAATGAGTCATCGGTATCTAATCTACGTTTGAATAAACTTTTATTTGCTTATTCTAGAAAGTGTTATTCATTGGAGGAATTCTCTCTAGTAGGATTTTAATAATGTTTCAAAAGAGGTGGCTCTCGTGGCCCAGGTGGTCTAGTGGATAACGCTTTGGCGTTTGAAACTATGGGCACTGGGTTTGAGGCTTGGTGGGAACATCATCAATCACTGAGAAATGCAGGTACATCCAGATGACGAGTCCCAAATAGGACGAAATGCGCATCCTGGATTCCACTGCTAGTCACCATCCACCAATTAAATATAGTTCATCAAATGAGATCACACTTTAATTTTTTAAGATGATATTTGTCAAATGCTGAGGTATTCAGTAAAAATTAACTGGCATTTTTCTGAAGAGTCTCGTATACACTGTGCTACTAGATTAAATTACATATATATACTGCTACTACTTTGCTTTTGATTTTCTGCATTCTTTGCTTACTTTAGTGAATCAGACATCAAATACTGACCTTCATTGTCACCGATTAAGAACAAAACTGTTAACATTGAAGTCCTTGAATTTGACGCAGGAGAGATCTTTTTTATTCCTCTACGTTCCCAGTGGAACATCGGGCTTCAAGCTAGAGACTTGAAGTTTCTGTAGCAGTGGTGATTATTTTTTACAGGATGGGGTTGCTAGCCTCATGCCCAACCTTCCCTCTTTACCAGTCTTACTACTGGCTTAGCGAGGTAAGGGAGTGTGTCGGTCGTGGATCGAATCCCAGACCACCTGAGTGGTTGGCGAGCACTCTACCACTGTGCCACAGACTCCAGGAGAGATCTACATGTTCAAAAACCATTGAATTATTTTAAAATTGTACGTTCACCTTCCGACTGAATATAACAAGCATAAAATCGGAGTTTTTAACCATCAAACGTATTTATTACATGATACTGAACTTCTGCTTGACACTTATTAAAGAATTTAGAGTACAAGTTTTTAAAGTGACACACATTTAGATAAAGATTGCAATACTACACAGTCAACATAATGTTGAGTAGGCTTTGTATTTGTAATTGTAATGATCTTATAATACTTACTGAAGGCAAATCAGTCCACTCTTACATAAAAGCTAAATTGAACCTGAGTATTTTAGGTGAATAAATATCATCTCAGTTACTAGTGGATGACTTTCCAATAAACGGTGTGCATCCTAGATTTCTGCGACAGTATGTGAACCAATTAACCCATCTAAACCAATGATGCCCATCATTCTTGCTTTCCTCCAGTATTTTCTTGGCAATCACGTACTACATATCACTGGCAAAATAAATAACTGACTCTTGGACTTTACCGGCTGCTCTCAAATATTAAACAGATACACAGCCAGTCTGATCAAAATACACGGCTGAAATTAGGCAACAAGTATTTTGTTATGTTGATGCATCCTCAGTAATGAATACCGGGCATCCTAATGCTCTGAGATTAGTTCCTTGAACTATCTGTTACAGAGTACGTAGAAAGAATGCTCACAAAGAAACTGAAAAACGTGAGCTCACAAAGTAAAAGGTAACTTTATAAGTAAAGTTCACAACTGTTATATGAGGAATATTCAGGTGAACATAAATAGGTAGATATACATCTTATTGTGCTAAATAATGATGACAATTAAGAGAAAAATATCGATTTAAATGATATTTCACTGAGGACCATATTTAATAACTTACATGCTTACTCATTTCTTGATTGTTGCAATAATTCAGTAACCCTTTCTCATACCTAAATCTGAGTCCTTATGGGATAACAAATCTAATTTCAAAATATTAGTCTCCCATAGTAAAATACAGAATGACACATGTAAGCGAACAACAGTGTTTTCAATTACACTTCCCACGCTTTATACGCGTCGGTGGCACAGTGGTTAGGACTC